ATAATTCAAATAAAGTTACGCATTTAAAGGTTTTTCCCCCACAATAAAAATAATGAATGCTATCAATATTTGGAGTGTATAAAGTTTTTAAAAAATACTCTCACCATCCCAAAGACACCACTGTTACATGACTAGCTCATTACATGGTAAGTTTATGGCCGAGTTGGTCATTAGCTGAACATCCCCTCTGGTACGACCCCATCCAGGAAAGATGGCAGTCCTTGGTGTCTTCTTTAAATCACCAAGCTCCTGTTGAGTGTCCTCCACCAAGGGGTCCACTTTCTTCCATAAGGATACTTAGGGGTCTCATGTTTCTTACCTTCATCCCTGGAAAAATATTATTCATTCCAGAGGTGCTTGTTTTATTAATATTTAAGTAACGATGTGTGCAAAGTGCTTAGCCACAGTACTTGCCTCAGTCGTTTTTCATCTTAAGTTATATCATCCACACTCTGGAAGTATCCACATTTTTCTTAGTAACATAGCATAAAGATCTTTTAACATTATGAATTGGTCTTTCAACCACTGTGAGTTAACCATTATGATTTCACTAAAGCATCTTTCATATGAAGTTGGCATAGTGCTTCTAGAGTTACAGGACTAAGTAATCCATGAGTATATTCAGAATGATAAATTCTAGGTTTTAACTTCATTAGACTCTTAACAGTAATTCCATTTAGGAAGAAGTACAAAATGAAAAAAAAACCAATTACTAGTAGATACGTGAGGCTTTGCAACAAATCCCATGAGAAAAAAAATAAATACAAAATTGGCTTAAACAATTTTGTGATTGGCCCCTAGCTACAACTATACTAAGTCATCTTTTAGAAACTTAGATCAACCAGGTACTATCTTTTCAATAGATCTCATGAATTACAGAAATGGAACCAAAGAGAAACAAATTATACAAGTATCTACCCAACAGATATTTGGCTAGATACAATGAGTTGATAACCAGATTCAAACTTATATTCATATTTTATCTTGTTACAAAAAAAAGTGAGGTAGCTAAGTCCAATACAAAACTGTGTTACGTAAAGAGGCTCATATGCTGCCAACCCATGTGTTGTGTCAAGTTCTATAAACACACTGACTGGCCAGATAAGAGAAGTATAAAGATGACTTTAAGTGTTT